TTGCAAGGAACATGAGTATGGACGAAGCACAGAAATCCAGAATGCAAAATCACACTGAAGTCCAAGTATTCAAAGCCAAAGCAGATAGCACATGGAACCGAGTAACCATCCCATTGAGAATGATACAGAAGAATCGTGAGTCAATGTCCATGCCCAACAGGGCAACACMAACAGCATAACCCAAATGTAGCTCTCTCTCGTGAATGGCGCCAGGCGCCCTATCTACTCTACAGCCTATCCTACAACTACAGCAATGAACAGCAACCAGASAACTTGACTACCAGCRAGTGATGATGTYAACACCAATGCCGTATTCCACCATCACCAGGTACGTGTCATCTTCCCCACACTCTCCCTTGTTACCCACACAGCGCCCTTCACCTCCGAAGTACCACCTTCGCCCTCACCTCCCCTGCACCCTCTTGCGGCCCAGGCTATGGCCGCCAGTGCCCTCAGTGCAGGCAGCGCCCTACYGCCTAGCGCTGGCCTGCTTGCTCTTAGCGCAGCACTGCCTTGCACAGCGCAGCACACATGCATCCGTGCAGCGTGCCCGCATGTGCCAGCATTGGCCAAGATCCTTGCTGCCTCGCCCTGCTTGCCTATATGCCAATGCAGCATGTGGGCGGCCTCCCTTCAGCCTGCGATCGGGACCCAGAGGCTGAAGCCTACCCGATACAGTTGTGCCCCGGAGCAATGCAGTTGCGCCTCTCTTCTCAAGGCCTGCGGCCAGATTCAGATAGTGGGCCGATTTTCCCTTTGGCATTTCGGCCTCTCTACCCAGCATGCATTGTCGGCCTCACGTTCGAGTGCCCAGGGCCTAACTAACTCAGAGGCCCTGGGCATTTCAGCATTTGCTGAAATCCGAGACTCGGTGCACTCCAACCAAATGGCGTGCTGCAACTGTATAGACCCCACTTCGTGAAATGTTGGCCGAGAGGGCTCTTGTTGATTTGCTGGCCCGCCTTCACTTAGGGCGGGCACTAGGCTTGCTGGGGCCTTAGCCCAGAACATGTACATCATGGCAAGGCCCCTACTTGAGCGCTCAATCCTTACAGCTATATTCTTCTCTCAATTTCACCTCACACTACCTACCTACCACTACTCCTAATTGTAGGCATACGGGGAACCCCGTAGCAGCCACAACCGTGTTCACGAGAGAACATGCGGGGGCTGCTCCCGACCTGCAGGTGGGCGATACCGGCTAGGGGAGAGCCGGTAGCATCAGGGACCATGCCAACAGGACCAATAGGTGGTGGGCGCCAAGCATGCCCAGGAAGGTACATGAGGCCAATGGGGATTGAACCCACGACTTCCTGAATGCCACTTGCGAGCCTTACCAACTGAGTTAGGCCGCTGGATGCAAATTTTTCACAGGTCCCTTGCTCCGTCGATTATTTAAAAAAAAAAAAAAAAAGGAGCTGGACTGACGCTCCCCAGAATGGATATGGAGCCAGGGCCATAAGGACCTGTTTTTGAAGGGGAAAAAAAAAAAAAAGAATCGTTTCATGCAAGTTGGCAATAGCAGAGGATCCGATGCCATTCGCTATCGTATTATGAGTCACAATGTCTTCAGCAGACACATCCCATATATTGAACAGTGGTCATCTCTTCTGTGATCTCTTCTGTGCCTTTTCCCATTGATGCAGCCTAGGTTCCCTTCGCCTCTCACGCTTTTTATAAAGGACTCCATGATCTCTTCTGTGCCTTTTCTTGGGCACTCTCCTTATTCTTTTCCATACTTCCTCCATTCAACCCTGAACCTCTGTCTCTATCCGCTGTTGTATCGACATCCACATCTCTTGTACTAACATCTTTCATCTATGGTCTCTCGGCATCTCGTCTCTTTCATATGTTCCATACGAGTGCCTTCCAGAGTGTCTGGAAGAAGAATTTGTCGAATAGAGCCCATTCCTTTGGGACTTTCATCCCTTTGGGACAACATCAGGCTGTCCCTTGGGAGTGACTTCTTTGTGAGGGCTTCCCAGTCTTTGTTGCCCTAGTCCCAGATTGGTTTGATCGTACTGCATAGAAAGAAACAGTGTAGAATGTCTTTCATCACACCTTGTGGGCAAATAGGACAGAGTTCCTCTATAGACGTCTTCATGGTTTTCTGGCAGCAGTGTAAACCCATGGGATAGCTTCGAGTCTGGTTGGGTCTCTGCTAAGATGTTTCCACCATCTAGCAGTCCTTGTGGCTTCTGCTGCTCATGATCTCCTATGTGGCACACATGCACACATGCACAC